TGTTGTAGTGTTCGTTGTTGTTCGTAGTGTTGTTCGTTGTTGTAGTGTTCGTTGTTGTAGTGTTCGTTGTTTGTAATGTTCGTTGTAGTGTTCATGGTGTTTCGTTGTTGTAGTGTTTGTTGTTATTGTGTTGTGTTCATTGTTCGTTTTGTATGTTCGTTGTTGTAGATGTTCGTTGTTGAGATGTTCGTGTTGTTGTAGTGTTCATTGTTGTGGTGTTCGTTGTCTTGGTTTCGTTGTTGTAGTGTTCATTATTGTAGTGTTCGTTGTTGTAGTGTTCGTTGTTGTAGTGTTCGTTGTTCTGATTTCGTTGTTGTATTATTGATTGTGTTCGTTGTTGTGGTGTTCGTTGTTGTAGTGTTCGTTGTTGTACTGTTCGTTGTTGAGATGTTCGTTGTTGAGATGTTCGTTGTTGTGATGTTCTTTCTTGTGGTGTTCGTTGTTGTAGTGTTCGTTGTTAAGATGTTCGTTGTTGTAGTGCTCGTTGTTGTAGTGTTCATTGTTGGTGTTCGTTGTTGTAATGTTCGTTGTTGTAGTGTTTGTTGTTGTAGTGTTCGTTGTTGTATTGTATGTTGTTGTAGTCTTCACAACGAACACTACATTGTTGTAGTGTTCATTGTTGTAATGTTTGTTGTTGTAGTGTTCGGTGTTGTAGTGTTCGTTGTTGTAATGTTCGTTGTTGTAGTGTTCGTTGTTGTAATGTTCGTTGTTGTAGTGTTTGTTGTTGTAGTGTTCGTTGTTGTAGTGTATGTTGTTGTACTGTAGTGTTTCTTGTTGTAATGTCCGTTGTTGTGCAGTTCGTTCTTATAACGTTCGTTGTTGTAGTGTTCGTTGTTCTAATGTTCGTTGATGTGGTGTTCGTTGTTGTAGTGTTCGTTGTTCTAATGTTCGTTGATGTGGTGTTCGTTGTTGTAGTGTTCGTTGTTGTAGTGTTCGTTGTTGTGGTGTTCGTTGTTGTAATGTTAGTTGTTGTAGTGTTCGTTGTTGTAATTTTCTTTGTTGTGGTGTTCGTTGTTGTAGTGTTCGTTGTAGTGGTGTTCTTTGTTTTGGTGTACGTTGTTGTAGTGTTCGTTGTTGAAGTGTTCGTTTTTGTTTTGTTCTTTGTTGAAGTGTTCAATTTTGTATTGTTCGTTGTTGTAGTGTTAATTATTGAAGTGTTCGTTGTTGTGGTGTTCGTTGTTGTAGTGTTCGTTGTTGTACTGTACGTTGTTGAGATGTTCGTTGTTGAGATGTTCGTTGTTGTGATGTTCTTTCTTGTGGTGTTCGTTGTTGTAGTGTTCGATGTTAAGATGTTCGTTGTTGTGGTGCTCGTTGTTGTAGTGTTCATTGTTGTAGTGTTCGTAGTTGAGATGTTCGTTGTGGAAACGTTCGTTGTTAAAATGTTCGTTGTTGAGATGTTCGTTGTTGTGGTGTTCGTTGTTGTGATTTTCGTTGTTCTAGTGTTCGTTGTTGTAGTGTTCGTTGTTGAGAGGTTCGTTTTTGAGATGTTCGTTGATGAGATGTTCGTTGTTGTAAAGTTCGTTGTTGTAGTGTTCGTTGTTGAAGTGTTCGTTGTTCTGATTTTCGTTCGTTGTAGTGTTCATTATTGTGGTGTTCGTTGTTGTGGTGTTCGTTGTTCTAGTGTTCGTTGTTGTAGTGTTCATTATTGTGGTGTTCTTTGTTCTAGTGTTCGTTGTTGTAGTGTTCGTTGTTGAGATGTTTGTTGTTGAGATGTTCGTTGTTGTGATGGTCGTTGTTGTGATGTTCGTTGTTGTAGTGTTCGTTGTTGAGATGTTCGTGTTGTGGTGTTTGTTGTTGTAGTGTTCATTGTAGTAGTGTTCGTTGTTGAGATGTTCGTTGTTGAGATGTTCGTTGTTGTAATGTTCGTTGTTGTGGTGTTCGTTGTAGAGATGTTCGTAGTTGTAGTGTTCGTTGTTCTGATTTTCGTTGTTGTAATGTTCATTGTTGTGGTGTTTGTTGTTGTAGTGTTCATTGTTGTAGATGTTCTTTGTTGTAGTGTTCGTTGTTGTGGTGTTCTTTGTTGTAATGTTCGTTGTTGTAGTGTTCATTGCTGTAATGTTCTTTGTCGTAGTGTTCGTTCTTGCAGTGTTCATTGTTGTAATGTTCGTTGTTGTAGTGTTCATTGTTGTAATGTTCGTTGTTGTAGTGTTCGTTGTTGTAGTGTTCATTGTTGTAGTGTTCACTGTACACTACGTTAGTGTTCATTGTTGTAATGTTCGTTGTTGTAGTGTTCGTTGTTGTAGCGTTCGTTGTTGTAATGTTTGTTGTTGTTGTGTTCGTTGTTGTAGTGTTCATTGTTGTAATGTTCGTTGTTGTAGTGTTTGTTGTTGTAGTGTTCGTTGTTGTAGTGTTCGTTGTTGTACTGTTCGTTGTTGAGATGTTCGTTGTTGAGATGTTCGTTGTTGTGATGTTCGTTGTTGTGGTGTTCGTTGTTGTAGTGTTTGTTGTTGAAATGTTCGTTATTGTGGTGTTCGTTGTTGTGGTGTTCGTTGTTGTTGTGTTCGTTGTTGAGTTGTTCGTCGTTGAGATGTTCGTTGTTGTGGTGTTCATTGTTGTAGTGTTCGTTGTTGTGATATTCGTTGTTGTAGTGTTCGTTTTTGCAGTATTTGTTGTTGTAGTGTTCGTTGTTTTAGTGTTCGTTTATATGGTGTTCGTTGTCGTAGTGTTCGTTGTTGTAGTGTTCGTTGTTGTAGTGTTCGTCGTTGTCGTGTTCGTTTGTTGTGTTCGTTGTTGTAGTGTTCGGTGTTGTGATGTTCGTTGTTGAGATGTTCGTTGTTGTGGTTTTCGTTGTTGTAGTGTTCGTTGTTGAAATGTTCGTTGTTGTGGTGTTCGTTATTGTGGTGTTTGGTGTTGTAGTGTTCGTTGTTGAGATGTTCGTTGATGAGATGTTCGTTGTTGTGGTGTTCGTTGTTGTAGTGTTCGTTGTTGTGATGTTCGTTGTTGTAGTGTTCGTTGTTGTAGTATTCGTCGTTGTAGTGATCGTTGTTTTAGTGTTCGTTTATGTGGTGTTCGTTGTTGTAGTGTTCGTTGTTGTAGTGTTCGTTGTTGTAGTGTTCGTTGTTGTTGTGTTCGTTGTTGTAGTGTTCGTTTTTGAGATGTTCGTTGTTGTGGTGTTCGTTGTTGTAGTGTTAGTTGTTGTAGTGTTAGTTGTTGTAGTGTTCGTTGTTGTAGTGTTCGTTGTTGTATTGTTCTTTGTTTGTTGTGTTCTTTGTAGTGGTGTTCGTTGTTGTAGTGTTCGTTGTTGTGGTTATCGTTGTCTTGGTGTTCGTTGTTGTAGTGTTCATTATTGTAGTGTTCGTTGTTGTAGTGTTCGTTGTTGTATTGTTCTTTGTTTGTTGTGTTCGTTGTTGTAGTGTTAGTTGTTGTAGTGTTCGTTGTTGTATTGTTCTTTGTTTGTTGTGTTCGTTGTAGTGGTGTTCGTTGTTGTAGTGTTTGTTATTGTTGTTGTGTTCATTGTTGTTGTGTTCGTTGTTGAGATGTTCGTTGTTGAGATGTTCGTTGTTGTAGTGTTCGTTGTTGTGGTGTTCGTTGTCTTGGTGTTCGTTGTTGTAGTGTTCATTATTGTAGTGTTCGTTGTTGTAGTGATCGTTGTTGTAGTGTTCGTTGTTCTGATTTTCGTTGTTGTAGTGTTCATTGTGTTCATTATTGTGGTGTTCGTTGTTGTAGTGTTCGTTGTTGTACTGTTCGTTGTTGAGATGTTCATTGTTGAAATGTTCGTTGTTGTGATGTTCTTTCTTGTGGTGTTCGTTGTTGTAGTGTTCGTTGTTAAGATGTTCGTTGTTGTGGTGCTCGTTGTTGTAGTGTTCATTGTTGTAGTGTTCGTAGTTGAGATGTTCGATGTTGAAACGTTCGTTGTTGAGATGTTCGTTGTTGAGATGTTCGTTGTTGTGGTGTTCGTTGTTGTGGTGTTCGTTGTTGTAGTGTTCGTTGTTGTAGTGTTCGTTGTTGAGAGGTTCGTTGTTGAGATGTTCGTTATTGAGATGTTCGTTGTTGTAAAGTTCATTGTTGTAGTGTTTGTTGTTGAAGTGTTCGTTGCTCTGATTTTCGTTGTTGTAGTGTTCATTATTGTGGTGTTCGTTGTTGTGGTGTTCGTTGTTGTAATGTTCGTTGTTGTAGTGTTCGTTGTTGTAATGTTCGTTGTTGTAGTGCTCGTTTTTGCAGTGTTCATCGTTGTAATGTTCGTTGTTGTAGTGTTCATTGTTGTAATGTTAGTTGTTGTAGTGTTCGTTGTTGTAATGTTCGTTGTTGTAGTGTTTGTTGTTGCCTCGTATGGGCCAATAGGCCATCTGCAGCTCTTATTATTATTACTATCCTTTAAAATACACCTTACTTTGCTCCTCAGCTCTCTCGAGCCTATTTATTGCCTGTCTCTACTTCCTCATCACAATTGACTTGAGAATGGTCCAGGACGGACTGAAACGTCGTCATCCCTTCACCTTCTAGTGTGTGGTCTGGTCAACATTCACTTTATACTATCTATAATTTACTTGCTATAATAATCAAATCCAATTCATATACACAAAGTTGTAGGGTGACACCAGGTGTTGCTAGTTACTGAAGTCATCTTCATTACACATAATAAATAGCACTAACAAGTTTTAATAGATTATACCTTCCTCATTGTAACAATGCACTATAAACTAACCGGCTTTCAACATGTTTTTGGTGGTACTGTTGTACCGCGACATATAGCTGAAAATTTGCTCGGTTTCTTCACCTGTGGTCAAACCACTTCTGTGCTGCCAGCGTCCTCCATACAAGACCTATAATTAAGATGTAACACACTGTAAAATAATTACAAGGAAAGAATATTAGTCGATTGCTGAAAAATTTAATTATGACTAAATACTTTATTCTGATTAATAGCTTTTTAACCTTAAAATAACGTTACATTTATACCCGTTATTTTGACAAATGATAATTTTTTACCTGGCAATACCATGCATGTGCTTTTGCATGCAAAACACCTAGGAACGGCTTTGTCTCCAGTAGGGTTTTTATTTTTTTCTTGAATTTTCAGGGCCCATGGCCAGTACTGTACTGGCATATGATGTCCTGGCAGATGTACTTGGCACTTTTGAAGTAATTTATATGGAGATAGTGTGCATAGCCAAAAACCTCACCACGAGTCATATTGCACATTTTGAGAATTACACCATGCCGGCATGATGCAAGGCTTATGCCAGTCTGGTCCAGGGATTTGTGTGTATACGGTTCGTTTCGCGCCGCTTTCCACAACGAGACACCACAATTTTGGCTGTTCTGCAAATCAAATATAAATGATATATATTATATATATATCATATATATTATATATTTATATCATATTATATATATATATATATATATATATATATATATATATATATATATATATATATATATATATATATATATATATATATTATATAAATACAGTATATATAAAATATATAATAAATAATGAAAATAGCATCATAATCAATATGGCTTCAGACCCCAAAAATCACCATTTATATGGTGCATGTAGCTCTTGACAAACGTTGAGTACTCTATGTTTTACTGGTTGACTTGCCTGTGGGTTAAAAAAACCTAACTACTTGTTATAATATATATATTAACTCTGTAAACTGTAAGACATCATGACTGTCTTTTCCCAATGGTGTAGTGGGTTAAGACACTCGCCTGGCGTTTCGTGAGCGCTTTGTCCTAGGTTTGTATCCTGGCCTTGGAAGATTTACTGGGCATCAACCCTTAACTATGCCCCCCCCCCCTGTTTACCCAACAGTAAAATGGGTACCTGGTTGTTAATGGATTTGGTGGGGTCATATTCTGGGGAACATAGGATTAACGACTTGCTTGAAACACTATGCGTGCTAGTGGCTGTACAAGAATGTAAAAAGTCTTGTATATATAAATAAAAATATAAAATCTATGTACAGTTTACAAAGTCTGTACACATAATATTTACCTTTGTTTTTAAGCTCTCTATATGGTTAAGGTGATTAGCCACATCATTGTCAGCAGCAAAGACACTCTCTGAATAATATGATTCCCTCAATCCTCTGAAAGAAACAAAATGACAGTATTTACATAATTTACATTGATTTGTTTTCAATTTTGATGATTGTGTAAATATATATTACTTAATGTTGTAATACATGAATAACGCTATTATGTATTGCATGTAAGAATTTTTCAGATATTGATATATTTACATAACGAATAATGTATTGTGATATATAAGTTGCCCTAATAGAAATGTATTAATTGTTGAAAAATAAAAATTTATCTTACAAAAGGAAAATTATTTAAGAACTGTACCTTCCAACTTTTTCATATCGGAATAACTTTTTGTTGCCATCAATATGTATGGCAAATGGGTTAGTATGACAAGCAGGGCACACGTTCTTATTGTAGCTTTGGACATTTGCAAGTTCATACTGCATAAATCTCCACTCATGGAATGTTCTTTTAACAGCTTCAAAGTTGATGCAACCATCCTGAAATATATACTGAATATAGAATTTGCATGGATTAGCCCCATATATTGGGGAGTGGGTAGCACAAGTTATAGTGCAAGATTGAACAACTACGTTCCCAGCCTAGTACTGGGAACCTGGTTCCCAGCCTAATACTGGGAACCTTGTTCCCAGCGTAGTGCTGGGAACCTAGTTCCCAGCACTAGGCCCAGATGTGGCTAAGCCATGCAAGTTGCATGAGTTAGCCATATATATTGGTGGGGGTGGGTAGCACAAGTAACAGTGCAAGTTTGAAGAACTACGTAGGAAACTATAAGGATGAAATTAATGCTTTTTAGTTTTACTTTTGAATAATGTTTTGAACAGCTGGACAGCTTTTAATTCAATAAAGAGTTTACCAATTAGGAGCAATAACCAATTACTTTATTTGCATAGAGAGTTTGCACAGATTTAGTTTGACTCTGGGGATATCAGAGAGATATTGATTTCTAGTGTGGTGATTATGGGATCCTTTACATCTATCAAGGAAGAGTTTCAGATCAGGATGTGCATTTAGGAACAAGGTTTTGTACATGTAAGTGGCACAAGAGAATGTGTAGAGTGGGTTCATATTTTTATGTATTATTATATATACAGTTTAATGTATACAGGTACTTACATTACATATATAAAATTAATAAATACTTACTCTTCCATTATGAGAGCCAAGCGCTTGGAGCGCTATTAACAAGGATTTCATTGATAAACCTGGACTGTTCCTTTTAAGGAAATGCCAGTTGTTCAGGAGTTTGGTGCTGAAGAATGTGTTACTTTTCCTGGCTGATGAGCAGAAGTATCCACCATCATACAACATCTTAGCATCTGCAGGAAGGCTGTATCCACACTCTTGACACTCAAATATGGGCAGATAAAGGTCATACCTGCCTAGAAAGCTTAGTTTTAGTATTTATTCCTAAAATAAAGCAGCTTATTTTGAATCTTTTGTAAAACTCATCTCCATCACTGAATGGATATGTTTGTGTCTCAAAGATTGAAGTCC